AGGTTTTAGCTATTCACATATCTATATCTTTATATTACCTTCTCTTTTCTTTCCTTTTTTTTTCTTTTCTTTTTCTTTTCTTTTTCTTTTCTTTCTTCTTTTCTTCTCTTCAAGCCCTCATTTATTTACTTTTATACATTTTTGGCATTGGTGGAAGAGCAGACGCGAATGCAAATTCGTGATCTGAACCAAAAGTCATTTGCAATTAAATACAAAGTGTTTTTATTTTTCTCTCTCTTGTATTTTGTTTTTTATTATTATCTTGTATTTTGATGGGCAATAAACTTATTATCATTTGCCTCAAGAGCTTTAAATGAATCAGAACAAAAATATAGTACGATTGAAAAAGAATTATTAGCCATTGTATGTGCCTGTAAATATTTTATACTTTATCTTTTTGGTAGAAAATTCACTATACAGATCATCGCCAGCTTGTTTGGCTCTTCAAATTGAGAGAACCCAATTCAAAATTATTCTGTTGGAGATTGAAACTAAAAGAATTTGATTATTAAGTAATAAATCAAAAAGATAAGTTAAATACAAACGCAGACGCCTTATTCCGAACTCAAATAAACGCAGTAGAAAATGAATTAATTTTAATTAATAACCCAGGTGATATTGTCGTAGAATTCATTTCACTATTGAGAAATTCATCAGAACACCCAAAATACAAGTAAACCCCAAACCCAACAAAACATAAGAATTTATTCATATATTCAAATTGAACCACTAACATACAGGCCATTTCTTTTATCATGTGGTAACATTGGTATATTCTAAACCGTAAAAGGTAACTGTCATCGGGAACAATACAATGGTCGAAGAAAATTTATGGGTACTCTCGCCCTTCCATTTTTCAAATGGAAATTTTTTTTCGGACAATCTTAAAAATTGGAAAGGAAAATGAATTCGAAGTGTACTATGATGATATAATAATAAATATTCTATAAAACGTTTCGTGTCAACATGGCCACCATATTTTTTTTTTAAATACGGACCTGTCTTTTTTATTACACATATTGATAAAGCGATAAATTCACAATCCAAGGGTATATCACATTTGATATTTTTATAGCGTTTCATTTGAAATGGCCACCATTATCAGCGACGAAAATCAAACAGAAAAACAATTTATTTTATCATGAACTTTTAGGAAAAATGAAACGAATACGAAAATGAAAGCTCATGGCAATTTACATTAAATGCTCGAATAGACGACCTCTTTGTTGAATGCACATGCGTTGTCGTTCCAGACATTTTCTGTGGCAATTTTCTAGCATAATAGGTGTAATACTAATACATGCATCTTTTTTGTTTGAGACTGTCGATATCTTGAAATTGGTGTTGAAAAAAACTTTATCCTTTATGTATCCCCAGACAAAAAAATCTAAGGGATTAAGATATGGGAATCGAGCTGAACAGTTAATTGGTCCATCGTCTCCAATCCATTTTCTTGGGAATATTGCATCTAAATGTTCCCTTACTATTGCTACATTATAGGGAGGAGCGCCGTCCTGTTGAAAATATTGTATTTCATGGCGGATATTCAGTGGCAATTTATCTAAGTAGCCATCAAATTCCTTGAATAGAAAATGAAGATACATTTCACTATTCAAATGAACACCGTAAAAGAAAGGGCCAAAGATGTTTGTTCCCACAATTCCCAACCAAACATTTATTCCGAACCTTTCTTGAAAAAATTGGTTTCCTTATGTGAATGTTCATTTGTATTATTCCACCCATTGTTGGTGAATTTGGATCGTCCGTCCATATTATTTTTTTTACAAATATTTCCAACTTCCCTTTTTCTATGTCTTAACCACTTCGCAAATCGTACTCTCCTTTCGTTATTTGATGATAGTTATTTCAAATGAAACGCTATAAAAATATCAAATGTGATAAACTCTTGGATTGTGAATTTATTGCTTTATCAATATCTGTAATAAAAAGGATAGGTCCATATTAAAAAAAAAGTTTATGGTGGCCATGTTGATGCGAAACGTTTTATCGAATATTTATTATTACATCGTCATAGTACACTTCAAATACAGTAACATTTTTTTAATTATTTGATATTCTCCGAAATAACAATTCCATTCGGAGAAAACGAAAAACAGCAGTTTTGGTTTTCCCCATATAACTCGAGAAGAGCGAGAGTCCCCGTAAATTTTCTTCGATCGTTATATTGTTCCCGATGACAGTTACCTGTTTTCCCATTTAATCGTCTTCGTATATGTTACGGTTCAGAATATATGTTACGGCCTGTGTACTAAAGAACCAACACCTCAAATCGAAGAAGATTCTTACATTACTCAACACAGTAATGCAAACGAACCGACAAATGAAGAAATAAAAATTTATGGCGAAATAATAAATAATAATAATGAATATCTCATACTTGAATTTCTTATACTATTCAAAATAAAACCTATTACATATATTTCCATTCAGAAACCGGGCCTAAAAAATTATAAAATGTACAAACCGTTACTAATAGAGGCCATCAACTTTTGTTTACAAAACATCATCACGAAAGTAAATCAAATCACAGAGGAATAAATGAAACTTTAGAAAAACTAAAAAAGAATTACTATTGCATTTATATGAAAAGAAACAGACTTTATAAATTAATCTGACATATGTCAAAGAGCAAAATATGCTAGGAAAAACCCTTATGTACCACTCATGCTAACAGAAATACCTTCAAAACCCTTCCAAAATGTTCATATAGATATATTCCAATACGATAGACGCATTTACTAAATTTGCTCAAGCAATACCGATGTTAGGAAAAACTCCTATCCATATTAGCAACGCCTTAATTGAATATTTTTCATCTTTTGGAATACCTGAAAACTTGATAATATATAGTGGAGCATAATTTAATAATGAAACCATCAAAGAGATCTTAAATTTGCACAGAATAAAAATTCATTTTACCACCCCTAAACATCACGGATCTAATGGAGTAGCCGAAAGATTCCATTCGACAATAATAAAACGTTTAAGAATACTTAAAGAATTATATTCAAAGAAAAATCCTTATAGAATATGCAATTATAGGCATGAATTGTTCACACCACTTTCATTTTACACAGAGTATGCTAAAAATCATTTAAAAAATGTGAACATTTTTATGATAATATTAAGAAATCAATCGAATCCAAGAAAGCAAAAATTATTGAAAAAACCAATACATGTTGATATAAATAAGATTATCAAGTAGGATTAACCGTATTCAAGCAAAACCCTCTGGAGAGAAATAAAAAACTAAATAAATTTATAGAACTATATATCATATAAAAACTATTAGATAGAAATAACGAGTAAATAATACCCAGATAAAAAGGAAATTGTTCATATTAAAGAGCTTAGAAAAAAACTTCTTATTTCAGACTTCATCCAAATCAACGCAGAAATGACGTCACCGACATTTCACGAACTTAATGACGAACAACCCTGGATTACTACCACTGAAGCTAGGTAATGCTCAGAACAAAATAGATCAATGGTTATTTATCCAAATATTTGATATCACAGACATAGTAAATGAATCTAATATCTTAAAAAAAGACTACACCAATTAAAATTTACAATTCACAACAAAACACGAGGAAGTAATTTTCAAGTAAAATTCTATAATTCATATTATTAAACAGAACTATCAGAAAAAAAATAATAATTCAAATAAGTCAAATCCATTCTTCAATTAGAAGAAAACAAAAACGAGTACTAATTGACGGATTAGGATTCTTGGTTTATTTGATGTGAAATTACTAGAACAACGATGAACTTGGAATTGAATATAGTCAATGTCATTAAGGTAGGTTAATTAAATCTGTACCTGAAATAACAAAAATGTTACCTAAATCTAATACATTATCTGAGATACCAAAAAAATAACTATTCATTTCAAATAATGGTGAACGAGCGGGTTTGATGTCGTCGAGTGAAACTACATTTTTATCAAGACTCGTTGCTCCGATCGACTTTCCACACGAGTACTTTTATTCATAAAATTGTCCAAGTAACCTTAATTTGTTGAAAAATATTGAAAAATATCTGTCATTTCAAAGTTTTGGGGTGTGGACCATCGGGGGTAGTCCGTTCCTGACTTTGTAGCAAAACAACTGACTCCTGCATGAAAGCTCATCGAAGGAATTCATTTGTTTAGTCAATTACCAAAATTTGGATGATTTTGAATATTCACTTGAAAAGTTATCAAAGAAAAACATTTTTCATTTTGTAACTTCGAGGGCCCGTAACTTGGTTACGAAGACTTTTAGGAAAAAAAGTTATATGAAGTACTGGTGATATTTTGAACCCATCTATACATTCCCAAGAGGAAAAGAGGAAGTCCAGGGACACCCTGTATACGAATATAAATGTTTTCACAATTATGGTGAAAAGTCTCTTAATGGGGTGTCTTGATCATCCTCATCGGATTATTCTCTGATGTTGGGTCGTCTTCTGTGTAAAATTCGTAAAATTCTTCGTAAAGACTTGTTTCTGTTTCGGTCTGAGGGTGGAGAAGGTGGAGAGTCTCCAGGTGGTATGGCCAATACTGCTCGTCTTTTGCATCGGTAACAGCACAACACTATTATAATTATTACAACAATGGTAATGGTAAAGTAAGTGAACCAGGAAACATGTTTATTCACAAAGGGTTCATTAATAAGATCGTCAAGTACTTT